TCCTCTCCACAGAAATATACACACAGCACACACACTCACACATCACGTTTTTACAGCTTATAAAAGCGTCAACGCAGTTTCTCTCTCCTCTCTTTCCATTTAAAACCACCGTTGTTTGTCGGTTGCACAGCGCCTCCACCTGGAGGAGCGGCGCAATGACCACCACTCGCGTCATTTTAGCTAAACGAAATTTTATGCATAACTACGCCCACAAGATGGCGCTAAGCTAGCCGTGTGCGAGTCTAGTTACACCCAAAAAACTTCAGCGAAGAAGAAAACGCTTCTCTTCCTGTGTAGGGCATGTGCTTCCTGTGTCAACCATGCACATGTGGTAAACAAGCGCAAGCATGGATTTTTCAAGTAAGTGGAGTGATCTTCCCAAAGGTCCGAGTCTGAAAAATCTGACAGATGGAAGCTTTGGCCACATGAAGGACACCCAGCATGCTGCCATTCAGGATCTGACCAAAGCTCACATCGAGTCGTTTGACCAGGCGGTCACAGACGGACTCAACCGCGTTGTGCAGGTCAGCAAATGTTTCTTCAAAGTTCTCAACAATGTGATGAATCACTTCATTAAGACCAGCGATTAACCCCAAATAGTTAAAACTACGATTAATAGCGTACTCTGTGTGACTCGGAGTTGCGTAAGCTTGTCTTGAACACGCAGTGCAGTCATATGCAGTGAGTTACTGTAGGCCAGTGAAAGCCACCATAACAACGATGAAATGAGTGAGTGAAGAATGTGGTTTCCTGCTGGTCGACTAGCTGCTGATATCATTTCCAGCAGTATTTTCTCTGAAAGCTGCTCAACCTGCTGTGAACATCCCTCTTGCAGTTGCTTCCCATAATCTTTGCCTTTCTTACGTTTCTCACTTTTCTGTCACCTTTCCCAGTCCATCCCCCCCTTAGAGTTCATGTTCAAAAATGAACGGATCAGCCTTGGTTTCGTTGAAGCTGCCATCCAAAACCCAGTGGTTGCCAAAGGGAACATCTGCAAGGAAATGAAGGTGTTCCCAGCAGAGTGCCGGGGAAGAAGATGCTCGTACAAAGGGAAAATAGTGGTAAGCCTGAGTCGTGTTTATATTCCCACAGCAACGTTTTAAAATAATCCATGTTGACTGGGTGAGTGTTGACTCATTTCAGGCAGACGTCAGCTGGTCGATCAATGGAGTTCCCAAAGGCATCATCAAGCAATCTCTGGGTCATGTGCCCATCATGGTGAAGTCCAGGCTGTGTAACCTGCATGGCATGTCCCCCAAAGAGCTCGTAGAGCATCACGAAGAAGCCGAGGTAGGATATGGCAGCTGTACTTTTAAACTGAGCCAGGATGGGTTTAAATATTGTCCTATAATACCAGCATCAACTTTGACAGGAAATGGGAGGTTATTTCATTGTGAATGGAATTGAGAAGGTTATCCGCATGCTGATAATGCCAAGGAGGAACTATCCTATCGCCATGTCAAGACCCAAGTGGAAGAACAGGGGTCAGGGTTACACTCAGTATGGTAAGTATTACTTCTAAAGAAAACAGTGCAGCAGTGAGTCCACGCCTGCATGTTTTCACCGGCTTTTTCTTCACTCAGGTATTTCTATGCGTTGCGTGAGGGAGGAGCACACAGCCATCAACATGAACCTGCATTATCTGGAAAATGGAACTGTGATGCTGAACTTCATCTACCAGAAAGAGCTCTTCTTCCTCCCACTAGGCTTTGCATTAAAGGCGAGCAAGCCTGCAGCTTTCATTACAGAACAGATTATGATAAAAATACTTGAGGCTCATTGTGTACTCATTTGCTCTCATGTTCCTCAGGCTCTGGTGGACTTCACAGACTTCCAGATCTACCAGGAGCTGATCAAAGGCCGCGAGGACAATTCTTTCTACAAGACCTGTGTGTCCGAGATGCTGCGCATCGTCATGGAGGAGAACTGCACCACCCGCAGCAAGGTGCTCAATTACCTTGGAGAGCGCTTCAGGGTTAAGATGAACCTCCCTGAGTGGTACACAAATGAACAGTGTGCCAACTTCCTGTTAAAGTAAGTTCTGGGGATGGATACGGTTGACACCCTTCTACTTTATGTTTGGTGGTATGTTTATTTAAAAAAAAGGGGCTTACTCTGTTTTGATCAGTGAGTGTATCTGCATCCACCTGAAGTCAGACGTGGAGAAGTTCTACCTGCTCTGTCTGATGACGAGGAAGCTCTTCACTTTTGCCAAGCAGGAGTGCATGGAAGAAAACCCCGACAGTATCGTGTGCCAGGAAGTGCTCACTCCTGGTCAGCTCTACCTCATGTTTCTGAAGGCAAGAATCTTCAATATTTTCCTTGGTTTTTTTGTCTTTGTCCTTTCTCTTTTGCTGAGCAGGAGGACTGTAGGACTGCTCCTCTTAGGCAGATCATTTGCCTCCATCTCACCCGATTGCTAACATCTTTCACAGCAGCCCTCTGCATGTCCTCCTTCACTACATTCATGTTTCTTTTCTGTGGACTACTTCTTGTCTTTTTACCTGACTGCTCCATATCCACAGTCAGTGTTGGGTAGTAATGGAATACATGTACAGTGGTCCCTCGCTGTAACGCAATTCACCTTTCACGTGCTCGCTGTTTCAAGGATTTTTTTGGTGCAATTTTTCATGTTTCTTTTTTCAGCACATTGTGTTCTGCATCCTGATTGGCTGTAGACCATTGTCAGTCAATCTCGTGCCGTGTCTCCTTTACAGTACAGAATGCGTTCAGCTTGTTAAATTTACATAAATCTTCGATCGCTAGCAGTGTGCTGTACTGTATGTTTGTAACTTTTCTCCCCAACAAACAACAATGTCGACGAGACGTTTTGCACCGTCAAAGGCAACCGCGGGTGCCTTTGCCTTGATTTTGTAATACTGGACTTATTTTTCTATGAAGGTTTGAACTTTAAGAGCGTTTAAACAAGAGAGAAAAGTGTGAAAATGTTCATGCCTGTCTGCGAAAAGTGTATAAAGTGTGTAGTGACGGGTTTTACAGCCTTAAAACATCTATAGTAATTGTAAAAAAATAAAGTTGGCTACTTTGCGGATTTCACCTATCGCGGGTTATTTTTGGAACATAACTCCCACAGTAAACGAGGGACTACTGTACCGGGATTATGTATTTAAAATACAAAATATGAGTAACTGTATTCTATTACAGTTACCGTTTAAAAAGGTGGTATTCAGAATACAGTTACTTTGTTGAAATAAATGGATTACACGGCGGTCTTTTCCTGATTCATATGTTAGACTATGCTCTCTTTTGGTAATTCCACGCCGGTGGAAAACCATTATGGCGAGTAGCCTTCAGTAATAGTAACAAATCACACAGCAGTAGTACATTCATGTAGTTGTAAAAAGCATGATAATATATTAACTAATCCAAAGTATTTGGAATACGTTACTCTCATTGAGTAACGTAACGGAATACCTTACAGAATACATTTTGGGGCATGTGTTCTGTAGTGGAATACATTTTAAAAGTAACCTTCCCAACACTTTCCACAGTGCTCACACAAAGTGTCTTCTTCCACTTAAGCCTTCAGTTGTGTGATTTAACCACTCAAACGTTTTCGCAGGAGAGACTGACTGCATGGTTGGTGTCTGTGAAGCTGTCCTTTGACAAGAGAGGCAGCAAAGTGACCGGAGGATGGAGCTCTGAAATGATGATAAAGATGCTCAACATGGGAACTGACTTGACCAGACCATTTGAATATCTGCTGGCCACTGGAAACCTCCAGTCTAAGACAGGTCCTGTCCAAGACTGATACATGGTCAGCTTTGAAAATTCACTAAAACATTCATTCATTCATCTAAAGATGTGCTCCCTCCTCCCACAGGTCTGGGCATGCTGCAGAGCACCGGGCTGTGCGTTGTAGCTGACAAGCTCAACTTCATTCGCTACCTGTCTCACTTCCGCTGCGTGCACAGAGGAGCAGCGTTCGCTAAGATGAGGACCACCTCTGTGCGTAAGCTGCTGCCCGAGTCCTGGGGCTTCCTGTGTCCTGTCCACACTCCAGACGGCGAGCCTTGTGGACTCATGAACCACATGACAGCCAGCTGTGAAATTGTGGCATTGACCTTGTCCACCACGTCACTGCCTGCTCTGCTCTGTTCGCTTGGTGAGGACTGACTTCAGGCAGTTGTTGTACAATCTTACCCAGGACCAAAAGCTAGTCCATTGTCTACCACAGAACTAGACCCTATAGATTTGTGACAATTAGGGAGGGGAGGTCGGTGCGTGTGTGTGCAAATGAGAGACACAGCAATACTTTCATGAATCAATTGTTAAATAATACTTTTTAAGGTACTCCAATAACAGTGACCTGCCTGTAGGGAAACGTCCTTAAAGTAATGCTGAAATAAAAGATTAACTCAGGCAGTCATTGATATACTTCGTAGGCCTGGCCAGGTAAAGTCTCTGCACGTGACTCTGGGTTGAAATGCGTTTGCTGTATCTGCTCTTTTAGGTGTCACTCCAGTGGATGGAACTCCTGGTCGGGCCTTCGCAGACTGCTACCCTGTGGTCCTGGACGGTGCTGTTGTTGGCTGGGTGGAGGCTGACTTGGCTCCAGTTGTGGTTGAATCACTGCGCAGGTTCAAGGTATTGTCTTCTGTTAGCTGCACCACAGTGGATCATCTGCCTCCATCCCTAGCATCCTCCCCTGTCACATCGGCCCTCTGCATGTCCATGCATGAATCTTTTCTGCGACCTTGCTCTTTTTCTCCTGCCTGGCAGCTTTATCTTCAACATCCTTTGTCCAGTATATCCACTGTCCCTCCTCTGCACATCCAAACCATCTCAGCTTTGCCTCTCTTCGTTTATATTAATTTCTTATTGCCTCCATCCTGGTCTCTCCCAATGAAAAGCTATGATAACATAAGCTCCACCTCTTTTTGTCAGTTCATCAGAGCAGGTTTTGCTACCTACTTAAATCCCTTTTGCTCTTGTTGCTATCACCTCTGACACTGGCCTCCATCCACTCTACCCTGCCTACACTCTCTTCTTCACTTCACTTGTGCACTGTCTGTTGCAGGTTCACGGTATACGAACTCCTGTTTGGTGTCACCTGTGTATACTATGCAGAAAACTGATTTTTAAAACGTATACCTCCAGGTGTTAAGAGAGAAGAAGATTCCTCCCTGGACAGAGATTGTGCTGGTTCCCAAAACAGGCAAGGCCAGCTTATATCCAGGCCTGTTCCTCTTCACAACACCTTGTCGCATGGTGCGGCCTGTACAGAACTTGGCTTTTGGCAAGCAAGAGTTGATTGGCACCTTTGAACAGGTAATGTGTTAAAAGTGGAGTTTTTTTTTTTTTTTTGTAGCTGTAAGAGCACAGTTTTAGTCCGAGCACCTTTTCTCCTTTGCCTGCAGCTTTACATCAATGTCGGAATCTTGGAGAATGAGATTGAACCAAGAGTAACCACACACCAGGAGCTCTTCCCTCACAGTATGCTCAGTGTGGTGGCAAACTTCATCCCATACTCGGACCACAACCAGAGTCCCAGGAACATGTACCAGTGTCAGATGGGTAGGTTATTTGAATCTTTTCTTTGACAATTTTGAGCAAACCCACATTTTCCATGAACCACTGCTCATTCACCTTATTTCAGGTAAGCAGACTATGGGCTTCCCGCTACACTCTTTCATGGATCGCTCTGATAACAAGCTGTACCGGCTCCAGACCCCACAGAGCCCACTAGTCAGGCCTTATATGTACGACCACTACAGCCTCGACAACTACCCCAGCGGCACAAACGCCATCGTGGCCGTCATATCCTACACAGGCTACGACATGGAAGATGCCATGGTGAGTTAAATGAAACTGTTCTCTATTTTTAATCGGCATAGGGTTGAACTCTTGACACATGTCATTTTCATCAGATTGTGAACAAGTCGTCATGGGAGAGAGGCTTCGCCCATGGAAGTATCTACAAGACGGAGCTGGTGGACCTGGCAGAGAAGGTGAAGGGAGAAGACGGCGTGGTGTTTGGAACCAAGCCAGGCGACCCCAAAGTGAAAGAAAAACTAGACGCTGATGGACTGCCCTTCATCGGATCGGTGCTTCAGTATGGAGACCCTTTCTACAGCTACATCAACCTCAACACTGGGCAGACCTTTATCTCCTACTACAAGTACGCGATAGCATTTTTGTAGCAGTGTGATCATTTTTCATCAGCTCAGTTGTAAAATACCTCTTGGTTCCTCTTCTCTGTTTGCAGGAGTCAGGAGGCCTGTATTGTTGACAACATAAAGGTCTGCAGTAATGACGGCGGCTCAGGCCGCTTCAAGCGCGTCTGCATCACTGTACGAATGCCCCGAAATCCCACCATCGGTGACAAGTTTGCCAGCCGCCACGGACAGAAGGGCATCCTGAGCCGCCTGTGGCCGACGGAGGACATGCCCTTCACCGAGAGCGGCATGACTCCGGATATCCTGTTCAACCCCCACGGCTTCCCCTCCCGTATGACAATCGGGATGCTCATCGAGAGCATGGCCGGCAAGTCGGGCGCCCTGCACGGCCTCGGCCACGACGCCACACCCTTCACCTTTTCCGAGGAGAACTCGGCACTCGATTACTTTGGCGAGCTGCTTCGGGCGGGCGGCTACAACTACTACGGTACGGAGCGGCTGTACAGCGGACTGAGCGGTCAGGAGCTAGAGGCAGACATCTTCATCGGCGTGGTCTACTACCAGCGGCTACGTCACATGGTCTCCGACAAGTTTCAAGTTAGGACGACAGGAGCACGAGACAAAGTGACCAACCAGCCCGTAGGAGGAAGGAACGTGCAGGGAGGCATCCGTTTCGGGGAGATGGAGCGAGACGCCCTGCTGGCTCACGGCTCTTCGTTCTTACTTCACGATCGCCTCTTCAACTGCTCAGACCGCTCAGTGGCTCAGGTGTGCGTTGACTGCGGCAGCCTTCTCTCCCCTTTGTTGGAGAAACCGCCGCCCTACTGGTCATCCATGCGCCACCGTAAGACTGTCTGCACCCTGTGTGGCAAAAGTGACTCTGTTGACTCGGTGTCTGTTCCTTATGTCTTCCGCTACTTTGTAGCTGAGCTTGCTGCAATGAACATCAAAGTCAAATTAGAAGTCAAGTGAATTTTATAGGATGTAAAGATTCATGCCTTAAAGCGCCAACCCTGCACACTTTGTTCAGACGGGTCTCAATAAAGCTGCTCAAATCATGCGTGCCGACAGAAGACGATAAACACATAACATGATGTCCATGAAAAGTTTTATTAGCCCCAAAAACATGACCAAGTATCAGTGTGTGATGGGATGCACGGGTTGACAATCTTCTGCGATGAATAAAAATGTTCAGTATTGTAGAAGTCAAGACTACTCAGATCCATTAAGAGAAATTATGAAATATTAAAAGTGCCACACGCATGACCACCAAATGCACTGGAAATATAAAGTGTCCTGAAAATGTCCCCTTGGGGATAGTGAGTGCTTAATACTTTGCTGAGGTGCTGCTAACAGTAAATTAGTGTAAAAGTGATCAGGATGAAGTAAAGGCACTGAGCCCGTTTCCCACAAAATCGTGTTTTCTTCAAACAAAACTGTTTCAAGCTTGATTAAATAAGAATAAATGAAAACTATTTTATCACAACAATGGAAAAGAGGGAGGGGTGAGCAGCTCTGGATAAAAGGTGAGTTGCCTACAGTGCTGGGATCATTACTTCTTTTAAAGTAATGCGTTACATTACTCACTGGAGAAAGTAATTTGTTATACCACTCATGACATTAAATACATTAGCAGCCTCTAATACAAACCTTACCGGGATTTATGCTTAAGTGAGAATGCTGTGACCACTGATGTAACCTGTAAATACACGTTGGCTTGAAGTAGTCGACAAACACTGTCAACCTTTTCAGTACATCATTTCCTCTTGTGCATTTCCAGCTACTGCTTTGTTGAGGTTTTAGGATTTATTAGTAAGAGAATAATCATCTCAGTATAAGGATAAATAATAATAGCATCAATAGGATGGACTCGCAAATGTCAGCAAATTCTTGGAGGGAGATTGCTCAAACTATTGGAATCACCACAATGAAGACCTGGATGCAGGAGGAAAAGAAGGCCCAGTGTCTTGACTGATACAGCATGTAAAACATAACCACGTGGTAATTTACACATAATGCACCGGCACAAGTATAGACGCTAGCAATGAAGACGGCCGCTTGCGTAGTTTATGTCGTAGACTCTACAAAGCAGAAGTCTAAATCAAGCCTTAGGCTGCACTCCCACAAATCCCAGCCTAATGAGGACATAAATATTCTCTTATTTTAGTTTTAAGTGTGACTGCAGAGCAAAGTTTAAACAAAAAGACTTTGAATAGGTCAGCACTGTGATTCTACTGTACAAATGGAGGATACAATGCTGACTGCCCATTACTGCCTTTGTTACCTACTAAAGATCAGGCTTTGGCTGCTCAGCTTTAACATCTGCTTGGCTTCCTGAATGCTAGTTTGTGTGGGCGTGCTGTATGTGCTGATAATCGCAACGAGACGATGTTGTCTTAGCAGTATGATGCAGTTGTTTCTGTCCTGGACACAATTTGCACTTTACCTGTACACTCTTGTACTTTTGTGCAATAAAACAAAAATAATGTCCATATTCTCCAATTTTCAAAAGTCTAAAGAGCAGGTAACCTAGTAATAGGATGGCTGGTGATTCAGTCCCCATCTGCTCCAGTCTGCACGCCTTGGGCAAGATACTAACCCCAAGTTGCCAATCCATCGGTGTATGACACTGTGAATGTTAGATAGAAAGCACTTACATAGGTAAGGCATAGAAAAACAGTGCTCGTATGAATGGGTGAATGAGGCAAGTTTTATAAAAGCACTTTATAGTGTCCATTTAACTCCTCCCAGCACACAAGCTGAAATTAGCTGATTATAGCACGTGTTTTTATTTCATCATGCAGGTAACTTTGTGTAACTGAAGAATAAATTATAATGTGATTACTGAATTGAATACAGAAACGCGTGACATTACTGTGCTATGGAAAAATTTAATGTGATTACAATCGGGCATCAGTCTGAAATGCCTTGAACCCAACAGTGCCTGACCATCACAAATCAAAAACATGCTTAATAATCTCGTAATTTTACAAGTATCTTAACCGTCCTCGAGTTTTTAACTAAATGTAATTACTTTGACCGCCTCATGTGTATAATAGTGAAGCTTCAACACACATTTTCTTACAGACTCTGTTCAAAATTACGGTGTCCAAAATCCCAACCAGAAACCTCAAATTTAAATGCACCTCGTTGAACACTGGAAAACTAATAGGAGTAGTAGTCATATCTAAATCAATTATATCAATAGGTAGAAATTCCCACAACATCTCAAGTAAAACTCATTCACTCTTCACCAGTTGTTCTTATTGCAGCTGTGCCAGAATATCTGGTAATTCCAGAACAGTAGTGATAGTGTAGTCTGGCTTCACTGAACCGTCTGACGCGGCCCCCCCTGCACTATTAATCCAAACTGTGGCCCGAACTCCGGCATTCAAGCCCCCCTGAATGTCTGTGTCCAGAGAATCTCCCACCATCACACAGTCCTGAGCCTCCACCTCCAGCATGCTGAAACACAACCTGAAGATGGAGGGGAATGGTTTCTGCTCTTTGTGTTCTCCTGCGATCACAATGGCATCGAAGAACTCCTCACATCCAGCCGTCGCCACTTTCTCTCTCTGGGTCTGGGCTACACCGTTGGTCAGCAGCAGCAGCTTGTATCTGCTGCGCAGCTGTTTCAGGAGGTTGCATACTTGAGGAGAAAGAGTGAGAAGCTCCAGGCGACTGCTTTTCCACATGTTATAACACTGAGCTGGCAAAGAAGGCGTAGAGCAATTCCCTACAGTCTCCTTGATGCTTTCCTCCCAGTGATGCGCACGGACATCATCTATGGTTTGACCAGCTGAGCAGTCAAAACTCTCATGGAACAGCTTCTGCTTGAACTTGTCACAAATGGTGCAGACGGTGCTGTCATCAAGGCCCAGCGTGGTCTTCAAAAATTCACTGGTCTGTATGAAATTCAGAAATTCACCACAAGATGTTAGCCTCCAAAATCCTTTTTTCATTTTATGCAAATGCAAAAAATGAAAATAGTCATCTGTGGCTGAAGAACAATCAAAGATACAAAGAAGGGCATTTATTTAGG